TTTCATAATAGGAGAATATTCTCCAAATCAAAAATAGTACTTTGGATGAACTGTTATCGCTTCACTTTGATTTGAATGTTAAAAAATAATGGATAAATGTAAGTTCTCATGAAGTTCTCATGTACACTAAAATACTATTTATGGCTCGTTCAGGCAATTTTTAGCTACAAAGGATACGAACAGTTCTGCTTATACCATAAATGTAAATAAAAAAGGCGCTTTGAGCACGTGTGACGTAACAGGTTATTTGTAAGCATTTGACTGATGCATTTGATATAGCGACAAAAAAGTCCATATGTTGCTGAGATATCGGTTTGTGCATACCATCTGTATTTACGTTCATGGCTTACATATTTCTATCAAACTGAGCTGGATATGTAGTATGCATTGTATGTACATGTAATGTAACAACCAGCTTTAACATACCTGTAGCTGCAGGTTCACTTTTTGTGACAAAAATGGCTAACTGAAGCCAATGAAACATTTATCTATCAAACGGAATCGAATCAATCTAATTAATATCATTATTATTATATTTCCGATGATTTTGTGATGTTGCAGCTATTGGTCCATACACTGTTTGAAAAACAGCTATTTCTGGAAAGGACTGTTTTGTTATTCCTTTTTCATGTAAAGTCATCTTTTTCCATTAATCATCTCAAAATCGTATCCATGCATAACCTGTCTGTCTTTACAATAATTAACATGTTAGTAGATATAATAATAAATATGAAGAAAAATACAGAAAGATTAACTGAAATGAAAAGATTTTTTCAGCCCATGGAAATTACGAAAATAATATTTTTTTCATATAATATTGTAGAACATTGCCTAAGAAACTCGAGATTCCCCGAACGCTTCGCCCAATTTTTAATTTGATTGGTTTAAATTACTAATAAATACTCATGAGGGAGTAGTCCCAGGGTGTAGCTCTAATTTTCAAGGAGTAGTCCTCAGATGGGGGAAAAAGTCTCTTATTAAGGAAATAGACAATTTTACGAATCCGTATTAACTTTGTGTAGTGTAATACATGTAGCAGTAAAGGTACAATAGTTTCATAAGGAACATTTTACAAAGATTTCATTTTTAACTGTTGTCTGTTGTACATGTATTTATACATTATGTTTTGCTTTTTTCCCACTTTTATAGATCAAATCTCAACACTGACCAATGATGAAGTTTCTGTTTTATTTTGTTTTCTGTGTTCTGATTCTGGCCCTCCTGACTTAACCGATACAGAGTGGTTGGATATGCTTAATGTGATTCGATTGGAAGCGTACCGTAAATATGATCCCATAACAGGTGATGAAGCAGAGCAGGCATTAAAGAGACTAAAGTCACTTAATTTTCTTTGGATGGCTCAAACTAGGGAACATCTTAATGGAGAAGTTAAGAATGAGATTATGTACAGTATATCAAATAGTGTCGTTGACATTGAAGTTGTATTTTATTTATCCAGTTTTATTACAGCACAAATATATCTTAAATCATTTAGATTCAATAGGAGAGATCGAGTCATTGATGCAAGTGTTTACAAAGATCCAAGAGGTATCCCTGTTTTATGTGCGTCTTTGCTTATACGCCGTCTACAAATGAATATACTGACTCACGTTACAATGGAGGACACTGACATTTTTGATAAAGTATCTCAAATTCGTAAGTATAAAATATCCGTTTTAATTTGTCTATCATAAAAAAAAAATCACATATTTTTTTTTTTTGGGGGGGGGGGTCGGATTTTTGTGGTTCTAGGAAAAACTCTTGGTTTGTAGGGATTTGATTTCATGTAGAAGAATTACTTATTAGTTATTCACATGTATGTACACTGTATTATTTTCGTAGGTCTTTTCATAAATCGAAAACAACAAAGATAAAATAATTCCACAACTGAAATTTGTGATTTCAAAGTAGTTATATTTACGTTGGAATTCTTTTTTCAATTCATTAGAATTTAATAATGTTAACACGCATATATATTGATAAAAAAAAATCTTATTTGATAATACATGTATAAAGACATTAATCAATTAAATTTTTGAACAGATATAGGAACAGAGAATGCAAGTTGGACTTAGAGTCCAATTGACCGTATATACTCGCCTATAAGTCGGTATTTTAATTTGGGAGTCAAATCTTAGTCCAAAAATCTATGTCCGATTTATGGGCGAGTCATTAAACGACTGGTATTTATCTGGATGGCAAATCGTATTTTTCTATAAATAGTTGAACAAAGTATGGATGTATTATATCATTTATGTATTGTAAGATTATACATAAATTGTTTTTATATACATGTATTTAATAATTTTATTATTTTTAATCTTAAGATGGCATTTTTTTAATTTTCTATGATTTAAAGTTAAGTATTAACTTAATTTCTAAAAATATTAATTAAAATGAGGCCAAACATCCCAGTATTTGTTAGAAATTGTCATCTGGGAAAAAGTTGCACTTTAAAGCGGGTCAATGGCAAATCCCTACCAATTAACCCCAAAAATACAACCAACTTATAGGCAGACAAACTTATAGGCGAGTATATACGGTATTTTTTTTGCTCGAGCAATATGCCTTATTTTCTAAGCAATCAAAATATTTTCATATGACCCCTCCTTGTTTTTTTTTCAAATTTAAACTGCACATTTTAGTGTAATTAAGAGAACTTAGAGAGAGTGAGAGAGAAAGAGAGAGAGAGAGAGAGAAAGAGAGAGAGAGAGCGCATGATATGGTTTTATCCTTTATCCTCATTTAACATATTTATCAATTATTCTTTAACGCATGTGTGGAATAATGTTTACATCATTTTATAATGAATTATCTTATTTTATGAAGGAATTAAACTGTATTCACATAGAACATATATTAGATAATACTAGTTTTTTTTAAGTAAAAGATAATCTTTCTTTCAATACTGAATGACCTTCACTTGTTTTTGTATAAATGCAGTAATGGTTCCCATGGTTATTGTACAAGGGGCAAAGAATGAAAGGGATGCCTATTTAGAGAATTTAAAACAGAAAGGAGAAAGTGTGTATTGCAGAAAAAGATCACAGGAAACTGTACAGCAAGAAAAATGGCTTTGGAGGTATGGGAGTAACCCTAGACCTGACATCGTGAGATCCTGTATAGGTCTACATCCACACTGGGATATTTACATCATCGACAATAAAGCTTACAGAAAACCAAGTAAGTTTGGGGGGGGGGGGGGTGTGATTATGTGTTTTCTTCAAAGACCAAATCCGAGGTGCTGTATCTAGCTTGAGTGTATAACATGTGTTTCAGACTTTTTTAGTTTAGTTTTTTACAGTGATTTCGTGCTTAAAATTACACTGTTTGGTAATCCTTGTCTGGTTTTAGCGTGTGTTTCTCCATTCCACTGAAAAAGCGAGCATTGTAAGTTAAGGAAATTTGCTTATTGGCAATATTTTACTCCTCCCTTAAAACATGTTTTTATCCCGCCTATTTTGAGATATTCTTTCATTAGAGCTTTAAAATTATTTCTGTGACATTCAAAGGTTCATTGATATTTAGCAGAAGTCCTCAGGCCATTTTTAGATAAATTTTTAGGTGGCTGGAATCTCCAGACTAAAAATGGCCCGATTCAAAACATTTTTTTTTTACATTTCAGAACAGGAAATATATTTTGTCTTATTACTCCTCCCATCTTGTCGACAAAAATATTGCAATCGTCTGAACCAAATTTAACCTTAGTCGGAAGATGGTCACCAAACATTTTTTTAATGGTGGCAACAAAATTCTTTACGAAAAAAAATTAACCATGACTTAGTAGGGGTAAATCCTTTGCGTTTAAATATATTTGCGAAAGAATTATCACGCTGTACAAGGATGAATCCTAGAACCATGATCGTTCAAAGTAGCTCAGTCGGTAAAGCACGCGCTCCGATCTGTGATTGAAAAGTCGTAAGTTCATATGTAAGCATCATTATTCTCGATATCTACACACACAACCAATTTTTTTCTTAAGAATTTACCGTTTTCGTTGTTCTGGATCACTTCACGATCTTATAGTTGTAGGTTTTCTATACTCCTTTCCGTATTTTTAAGGAGGACGAAATATCTGATTTTTCTCACTGATTTTTTTTTTTGTTTTTCCAATCATGATATATGGCAGATATGACACAGTTCCACATGGGAGGCTATATTCTACATGGTCCATTCTCTGTTATCAATGCAAAAATTTTACGGATATCTACGGGAATATTCAGAAGTGATTCCTGAGATAAATATACATTTGACATTTCAAATATCATTTCTATTTATAGTGATCGTTTCCATGAATTATTTCCTACCTGCATATATCCTGATAAAGATTGACATACATTCTCAGTAAGGTTAATTATATTTTCAGGTCAGTACCACTCATATCCACCTGATGTTAGATGTCTTCTCTACTGCCTTCTTTTGGTGGACGACTACAGATTGAATGTTGATGAGAAGCCCCACAAAACCGTATTGAACAAGCTCAAAGACAGATATTTCATAGAAATAAATTTACCTGATCAAATAATGGTTGACAACCTTTCAGAAGATATTGTTCAAAAACAGACGGGCATTTTAGCATATGATATAAAACTGCCCAAATCAGACACGACGTCATGTATGCTTTTGTGACGGAGTGTCTGGTTAAGGAATGCGATTTGGAGTTTTTCCTTAAAATAGCACCCAAGGTCTATTACTGGAATACTGCAAGACCTGGGAGTATAAGAGAAAAACTGGCGAGAGATGTCTGTATGTTCCGGAAGAAAAGTACGATCTCTTAAAAGACATTCTTCAAACTGATGTTCTCAAGTTTAACAATCAGATGATATCAAACTCTACATTTAAGCGGAAAATAATTAAAATATGTAAGTTACTTTACGAACAATGAATAAAATGATATAATTATGTGCTTACGGCTTGGTTTTTTGGTTGAATAATAATTGAATAAAATGTCCTGTTTGTATTTTAATTTTAATATGCATGATCCATATAAACCTTGGGAAACCAGTATTCTATGGCAAATAGTTTAACGATATTGGGCAGGATTTATTTGGCTTTTCATCGATACTGATTCGAGTGAATTTTTTTTCTCCCTGTATCTGTATTGTAGTATTACATGTATAATAATAAGGACACTATGCTCTTTTGTTCCATGCTTCTGTAGTAAATGTTCCCCAAGAAATATTTTAATGGGATCAAAAGGCACGAGAGCGTTACACGGAATACGCCAAGAGGGGAACACAGACGGTCCATCACGCCAGGGGGATGATTGTAGGATGTGCTGGGGCGGGGAAAAACACGCTACTTCAACGTTTACTTAAACAAAGTGAAGAAGAGATTCTGAATGTGTTGTCAACAGACGGACTCGAGGTACACGAGGAAATATTTGAAGTTTGTAACGGAAAATTGAGAGGTGAGAGGAATTTAAGTTTTAGCTCACCTTTGTTGAAATCTAAATTGAGCTTTTCTTATCACATTTTGTCTGTAACTCTCTGACAGTCCGTTTGTCTGTTTGTATGTCTGTAATCTTTTCACATTTTCGACTTCTTCTCAAGAACCACTGAGCCATTTTCAACCAAACTTGCCACAAAGCATCTTTAGGTAAATCAAATTCAAGTTTGTTTAAATGAATGGCCACACCCTCTTTCAAGGGGAGATTAGAAATAATGAAAATTTAATGACGCATTTTAAAAATCTTCATCCCAAGAAAGACTTGGCCAGGAAAGTTAAAAACTTATATGGGAAAATTCTCAGGTAGTGTAGATTAATGTCTGTTCAAATCATGACCACCGGGGTAGAGTGGGGCCACAATGCCCAATCAAAGATTTACATAAAAATAAAGAGGAATATTCCTTAAAAATCTACTTCTCTAAAAAGCATCGTCATAATAAGTCATACAGTACCCGCATCGTTATTCTTTACAATTCTATCGTGTTCTATCGTGCGTGTATCCTATCGTATCGTGCGTGTATCCTATCGTATCGTGCGTGTATCCTATCGTATCCTATCGTATCGTGTTTTCCGTTTATCAGGTTTTGCGTTTTCTATCGTGTTTTCCGTTTATCGTGTTTTGCGTTTATCGTGTAGATCGTTTATCAGGTTCTATCGTGTATCGTGTTTTGCGTTTATCGTGTATATTCGGAAACCCTCGCTTTTTATCTTTACTATGTAAAGAAACTACTGAGCTATTCCGAGTTTCTTTTTCGTTTTGTTAATAAAAATAAGATTAATTCAACCGAAAAAGAGAAAATAAAGATTTATCCCTTTCTTTTTCATCAATATAAGAAATATTAAAGCGTTGAAGGAAAAAATAATTAATCGCGTATTTCATGAATGAATAAATTGATTTATTAATAATTAATTAATTAATTAATAATTAAATTAAATAAATAAAATAATTATATCTTGGTAAAGCAGAGAGTAATTGTCAAAATTTAAACAGTAACTCTATTTTTCGGAAATGAAATTATAAGTAGATCGATCAAGTGGTCTATTTCCTTAAAAAAATAATTTATCGAATTGTATGATTTATTTTGTCAAAATTAAATACTATTAATATGATTTTCTCAAATAAATCGGAGTTACCGGAGAAAGATTTTTGGTAAGCTACGATGTTCGCGTAGACAAAAAGCAAATAAATAAATAATAAGCCGGATATTGTGATGTATCTTTTTTCATGCAATATTCTGTTTTTCCTTGTTTATCGTCTGATAACGTTAGAAATATGTTTATGCGTCTGACCTGTATGTATGCACAATTATTTAAAGTCTTGATGTTACAAATAAAATATAACATAAGACAATGATCCAGATGATTTTAACAACGATTTTGGCCGTATACGTTCAAATTTTAAATTTATTTTTTAAAGCTAATTATAAATTTCTTGACATATGTCTAAATTAATAAAAGAAATCAAAATTATAAAATATAATCAATGAAATTATTCTACCCAATTTATCACACCATGGCTGTTACTATAAAATAGAAGATTTTCATATATTTTATCTGGCATTAGATAACATAAAAATAATATATACAGGGGAAACATGAAGTTTTTTAACAGCTTACCTTTTCGCCGTGGAAATAAACTCAAAATATAATCCATCGGGATGCCAAAAATTAAAATAAATCGAAGACCTTTCCTTACAAGAAAACTGACACGTATGTGTAGCTCTCTAATTAGCACACCGTCTTCCTGTGCGGTCAACCGCCCCCTCCCCCTTCTCCCCTAACTGACACCTCGGCCCGTGTGTGTGTGATCACCGTCAACATACCTGTACTGATTTCTCACCTGGGGTCAATTAGTAACCTCGAATACTATCTGGTTCTAATGAAACGCATCTACTTATTTTCGGGATTTTGTTCCTAACTTGTTTGAACAATTTTATCAAAGATTTTATTTAAAATACGTACATTAAATAATTGTACGATTTATGGATTTAAAAAATCATCTTGAATGTTAAAAAAATTCAAATAAATCAATTTAATGAAATGAAGTCCCTAAACTCACTCCGTTGATTCTTTTTCATTTCGTACAATGTTTCCATTATGTTTATGTAAATAAGGCTTTTAATAAACATAAAAAAATATACTGCATTTATGGTACGTGCACGTTCGGGTCATCGGGTTTTCTACGTAAAACGGACAAAATTAATTCTACGAAACAATTTCATTGATCGTAGAAACGGATGAAATAGTTCTAACATTCTAAACTATGAAAATTAGCTCGCAATATTTTTTTAACGGTATCTTACTATCCGCCGTGACCATGCAAGACTAATAAATACACCGAATCAAATATAGTATCAATCGATTTTATTCCATACGTATGTAACTTTATTTAAGAATTCAATATTATATTTGGCTATTTGGTTAGATCTTGTTTATCTAATTTTAAATTGGTTGCGGACTTTCAAAATACCGCCCTTCGAATATGCCTTATATGAGATTACCGGGTCAGTGTATAATGATTTTTAAGGTTTAATAATTCATTTGCCGAATTAAACCTATTTTTCGTTATTATTAGAAACAGTACACACAGAGTTTAATAGCAATGATTTATAATTATTTAGTCGGAAAAGTCGCATTTCACTCTTTTAATATTTGTTAATTAATTTTTCTGTTTTGTATTGTAAAGAAGAAAGTATTCAACCATTCAATGTTCGTTAATAAATACGAGGTTTTAAATATCTGTAATGTAAAATGTTTACATGTACACAAGTCAGAGCTTAGCGTAAACGTACATGTGCAGTTATAGCAGATCCATATTCTCATGACACAGTTTACATGTATTAATGCAGATCGCCATTATTTTAATAATTATTTAGATTTCTATTCAGAAAATTTAATTTTCTTCAACTGTTTCGTTCTTGATAGATCTATCATGTTAAATTTATTAATTTTGTTAAAGCCGTTTTCTTTAAACCTTTCTTTCGGCCAGTCTTCTACTTGTATTATTTTCTAAGATATTAATATTTAATTGCAATTTTTGGATACATTGCAGATTGCTTTAGACATTAAATACAAATATTTGATTTATTGCGTAAATTTCTCCCGTGAATTAACGTGGTACTTGTAGATAAATTTATTAGATAGAAAATTAAAATGTATATTTTTCATAAATAATAAATCTGTTTATAGAGTTTCAAAATTCACACACTTGAGAAGAAATTAAAAAAAAATAAATAATAATACAGTCTCCAATTTATACAAATCCATTTAATCACTGTCAATTTTTTATATATACGTATAAATAAACAACATTTGTGAAATTAATACAGAGATCTCAGGTTCTTTTTATAATAAGGAAATGTACTTTATAGTTTAGATTTGAAGCTCTGCGAGTATTTAAATTAAAATATAATTTGATTTAAATAATCTTTTATCTTTAAATTTAATTCAAAATAATCCTTTCGTCTTGTCATAAAACGTTCCGCATTTTGAAACAATCCTATCAGGTTTTGCGTTTATCCTATCGTGTAGATCGTTTATCAGGTCTATCGTGTTTTGCGTTTATCGTGTTTTGCGTGTATCGTGTTTTGCGTTTATCGTGTTTTGCGTTTATCCTATAGTGCGTGTATCCTGTCCTATCGTGCGTGTATCCTATCGTATCGTGCGTGTATCCTATCGTATCGTGCGTGTATCCTATCGTATCGTGTATCCTGTAAAGAATAACGATGCGGGTACTGTATTTATATGGAGGTATTCTAAGGTAGTGTAGATTCAAGTTTGTTCAAGTTATGACCACCGGGGAAAGGCAGGGCCACAATGTCCGACCAAATATTTACATAGATATAGATAGGATAATTTTTTTAAAAAGTTTTCTCAACAATAGCAAAGTCGTGATGAGTCATATTTATATGGAAGCATCCTCAGGTAGTGTAGATTCATTTTTTTAAAATCATGACCCCGGGAGTAGGCCGGGGCTACAATGGCCAATCAAAGATTTACATAGAAATATATAAGAAAGATATTTTCAAGAAAAACAAAGCTATGATTGATCATATTTATATGGAAGCATCCTCTGGTAGTGTAGATAAAAGTTCGTTCACACCATTTAATGATTGTTTGGGACCATTTTTGGTGTTTAAACGTTTCAAAATTTCTTAAATCTACACTAAGGATGATTGCAAATCATATCCTCCAAGGAATTGGCTGGGACCACTTTTGGTTTAAACTTTTCAATAACAACTTGATTTCTGCTCTTTTCCTAGCCACAGTGCTTAGGTGAGCGATGTGGCCCCTGAGCCTCTTGTTTTCACGCATATACTGTAAACAGGGTAATTTTCGCCCCATGTTATTTTCGCCCTCTTGCACTTGCGAAGAATAATGCCCCGTTTTAAATTCGCCCAGTTATAGTTTTGTTTAAGAAATTATGCTGTTTAATTTGAATTCGCACCATTTTAAATTCGCCCAATCAGGAAGAGTGCAAAAGGGGCGAAAATAAAACGGGGGCCCAACATTTCCCTGTATACAGTATCCGATCCGTTGGTATGTTAAATGTAAACAGTTAGTCTCCCAAAAAGTGAAATCTGGTAATGTGGTAAGGGGTCCCTGTGCCAGGACATAGTTCTGTTGAACAGAGTCACTTTAAAAGATTGATAATTTAAAAATGGTTTTTGGTGTTATGATGGGGCTTTGTTCAAGATATGATGAAAATGCATTGAACAGAAATTTGAATAGTACTTATTTAATTTGAGCAAGGGTCTCTTTCAAAATTACGAATTTCATGTCATGGTCACTGGCTCAGAGGTTCTAGTGTTTAGGCGCGCTATTGCAATTTAGTGAAAAGACTCAATTTTCTCCTAGTGTAGTAAGAGTCATCTGTTGTGAATCGTCCCTAAAACAATTTATAACTTTCAGATTTTTAACTGGTAAATCTTAACGAATTTTAGCCACTTTGAAAATTATCTTTTAACAGTGTCGTTGGATGTTGCTCGCCGCTACTTTGAAAATCCATACATTCTTCAAATTGTTTTGTTATACCCCTGGACATCAAACATGCAGTTGAGCTGCCTCGTCTTTGAATTAACTAAACAAGGACCTCTATTGAAATTATGACATCTATTTTCACTTTTTGTAGGGTTCACTCTCCAGCTGGTTGAGTTATGTTAGATATTTAATTGAATTTGAATGCATTTAAAATAAACTATTTTCCTATTAAAACCTAATAGTACAATATTATATAATATGATATCATTGTAATAGATATTATTCATTGAGGTTATTGTCAATTTTGAAAATATGTTCTTCTTGCAATTCCTTTCCATTCAAAAACAAAAAAAGTTTTGGCATACGTAGCAGAAAATGAATTTATTTTTTATACTTTAAAACAGTTAAACAGTTGAAGAAACTTGATTCGATAAACAGAATCAAGACTGAGGATACCACAGAAGCCATAGAAAGTGACGTTACTAAAACATTGAGTTTCTTTGACTTTGGAGGACAGTGTGGGTACTACGCCTGTCACCAGATTTACCTGACCAGGAGAGCTTTCTATGTTGTGGTGGTGGACGCCTCTAAACACATGGACCAAATAGTAGATAAGAGCAAATGTGATCAGGTGGACACTCTGTTCACTGACTAGACTTATAAAGGTGTGTTTATCTTTATAACTTTTCCCAATAAAATATCAGAATTATGTTATTTTTTCTTTATTCTTTAGATAAAATTCATGCTTTTGGTTAAAATTTCTGTTGTCATAACTTTATTTAATATCCATTTGTTTAAATTTCAAAAAGTAATTTTGAATCATTAGGTGTACATGTAGTTCTCCTCTTGTTTTTAAATTCATCAGATTATTTTCAATTCTGGCTGAAGTCAATTCACACCTATTGTTCTAAGCAAAATGAAGAGAGAGAAAATGTTGATGTCATGATAGTAGTAACGCATTGGGAAAACAGTATCAATATGGTATGAGGCAATGCACTTTGAAAAAAAATACGCACTCCGAAACAAATTGAAAGTGTGTAATACTTGGGACAAAATCAACGCACTTTGAAAAAAAAAATTCAGAATGCAATATGCTTGGCACCAGGTCAACGCACTTAAGAATTTCTTTCAGTGCGTTTAGAGTTTACACAACACATTTTAACATGGAGACACTTACCGCACTTTTTAAAAAATTGCATAAAACAAGATATAAAACAAAATTTCTCGACTTAAATTTTAGTAAATGGAAAGCACTGCTTTGTTATATGTTTGAAAAACTCATGAATAAATTACTCCACGTTGAGAATTTAAAAAAAAGGCGGATAGAAGGTCTCTCAGTTAAACTTTTTATCTTTCCAATACATAAGCATCGTTGGCTAATTAAACGGGGGAGGGGAGTAATTAATCCAAAATGGGTAACCCGCATTTCAATGCCTATATGATGTATATCTTTGTAAAAACGTGGAGGACTAAGTCCCCACCCCTTTCCCCTTACTCTTCGTTAGATGTTGATGCCTTTGATATACCCAAAGCATGTACAGTGAAAACTGTCTAATCTGACACCTGTGAAATCCGACACACTGTGAATTCAAACATTTAATTTCAATCCCATTTTACTGTTTTCCATGTTTCTTTACACTGTGTAAACCAACACTCTGTTTATTCCGACACAAAGTTTGTATCCCTATGCATGTCAGATTAGACAGGTTTTACTGTATATGTATTTAAATAACTGGTATGACATAGCAAACTTTCAATAACCGAGTTACCTGACAACAGATAAAAACTAGAAATTCTTAAGTACAGTAAAACGTATGAGAGATAAAAAAAAATTCATAGTATTGAAAAATCAAATTGCCCCTTTTTCGCAAGAGAAACTTGTGGTACAAGTCCCACCCCCACCCCCTTTTTACATCTACCGAATTTTTTACTGACTGACATTTTAAAAAAGAAACGAAATTATTATTTTAAACAATAATCTCTTCAATGTTTTCTTTAATAGATCCATTTCCCTTTTATTACATTCAATCAAAATCTTAAATATTTAAAACGTCGATATTTCAGGTTCTGAAGTGACTTTATTACCAAAAAAATTATCCAACCAGGATAAATTATTTATCATACCAAAAATTATTTAGAATATTGATCAAGCTATACACGTTATTTTTTTTCAAATACATTAATATGGTTGATATTAAGACATTTTGAGAAGAATTTTTATTTTTTCAAAGTGCGTTCGTTTTGTCCCAAATTTAAGGCACTGGAAAAAGTAAAACGAAAATTTAGAGTATTTATTCTCACACATTTAGCTGTGTAATTTTCTTACATTTTAATGCAAAAAAAAAAAAACTGATCAGAATTGTATTAAATGCCACAGACACTTTTCTGTACGTCAACATAATTATTTTTCAATTTACTTCAGGACGAAAGAGCCTTTCTTGAAATCCTTCATAACGCATTGCCATCTCATTCAAATCTGGGGCAATATATAAGAGATGAGTCTTTGTTTTATACACAATTTCCAGTAGAACCATTAAGAGATATCGAACAATTTATTGTGGACCTTGCAATGTTGAGTAAATGGAGCGAAAAAATACCTTATGAATGGAAGTGTTTAAATCAGGAGATATCGAGCAAACGGTCCATTAAGCGTATTTTGCCTTTTCCCGATGTTTGCAGAATAATGCCTGTCAAAGAATATGACAAAATTGAAAGCACAAAGGATATGTTACGATACTACCATGACGCTGGAAAAGTCCTTTATTTCAATGAGAATGGGCTTAATGAATATGTTATTATCTATGTTCAGTGGTTTGTGGATGCCTTTAAAATCATCATCACAGATGCAAATCACGTGAAAGGGATTGATGCTTTTAAACTCGAATGGGATGAATTTTACTCTACTGGCAATATGAAATCTAATATACAAAGCCGAATTTGGAAAAAAGAAGATGAAAAATTGTTAAATCGATTAAGGATTGAAAACAAGGTACAAATTGAAAAGGACGGTCCTCGATTTCTATCATATCATAAAAACGTTCTGTTGTCATATATGCAGAGGCTGGGTTTAATATCAGTTGGTGGAGGTTCTCATTATGTGCCTTGCATGAACAAAAGGGGATTGGTGACCAACAGAAGAGTATTATTAAAAACTCGGCTTTCCGGTCTTCTGTATTGGTGTTTTTGTTTGACTTTCTACCCTACTTTCTTTTCTACAGGCTTGTTGTGAAATTAATGTCTTCCGAAAAAATTGCTGTTCTTAAAAACAATAACATAAGTTGCTTGTACAAAAGTGCAGCTCTGTTTTGTTATAAAAATGTTAATATCACTGTAGCTGTAACATCAACTACGATTCAACTTCAAATTTTTAATCCGGATTCACGTTGTCAGTTAGGAAAAAAATTGAACAAATAATGGACGAAATAACGACAACTTTTCATAAGCATCTGAAATACAGAATAGGGTATATCTGTGACGAAGAGAAAGATCAAATACTTGGTAAAGAAATTTCACACAACTTCATTGATGAGGCTGAACTTAAAGCTGGTAAAAAAATGACGTGCCCAAATCATCAAATGGAAAATTGTCATAAGATCAATCAAGTTTATCTGCGGGCATGCTGGAAATAATAAACAAACTTGAGAAATGTAAAAAATTCGGCTTATCAAGTTCTCATTTATACCTTTAAGACGCAGTTTGCTTATATATATTAATGTTAAAAGAGGTTTTGTAGCATACCCCCCCCCCCAAAAAAAAAATGAGTAGAAGTTTTGGTCGTCTATTCCTGACCATTGTTTATTTGTGTTTAAACATTGAGTAATCTTGTCATCCATAACGACAATATGTTTATGTGCTTGAAACATATTTATCTATTTAGAGTTTTTTTTTAAATAAATTATTTTTCATGATTGATTTACATTATTCTTGTTTATAATATACACATTTTGATGTATTTATTGTTAACTGTGTATAACTATATTTTACTGTTTAATGGCGTGGTGATCCAATGTGCAGGATCACATTACTGTGGTTTTCTGAATTCATACATGCATCACCATTCTCAGAAACGTACATTTTGACGCAGTAAAAGTTATTTTTTCTGCCGCATCAAAAAGTTATCTGACGATGTTTATTGTCTTAATGGCTAAAAACATGATTTTGCATTGCACCATATTGGGTAAAACAATGCCTAAAATAAGGGAGTGAAAGGCAGTTGATTGGACAATTTTAGAAAGACAAGGAATTCACCACAACCGTCAGCGCTGTAAACTGCATTTTACTTGCATAACGGGATCTGTGAGGTTATGGTCAAGATTTAAATTAAAAATATAACGCTACAGTTCTGCAGCATAAGGAATACAGTGGAGCCTCATTTATCCGGACGCTTTGGTTTCCAGTCAATTTGTCCGGATATGTGAAGCGTCCGGATACATGAACACGCTTTGGTTTCCAGTCAATTTGTCCAGATACGTGAAGCGTCCGGATACGTGAATCACCAGTTAAACAAGACAAAATAACATTAAAAACTTCCGTTCCGATGAAAAATCCTCCAGATACTCAAGCATCCGAATATCTAGCGCCCGGATATCTGAAGGTCCACTATAGATGATTTGGTATGATGCAGATAACAAGAACCAATTCAACATGTATGAATTGATGTGTGTTTGAAGAGGCCTCGAGGGCACATGTACGTCCTCCGCCCAACTTATGGTTTCTGCTGCAGACTACGTTACTTAAAGGGAGATCAAATGAAGAACATATGCTAAAAATATAGCATATGATAGTTTCTGCTTGTTACAGAATTGCAGATGTAGAGGGGCGGGGGAATCATCCCCTGCGACCCCCTCCAGAATTTGCAAAGACTAAGCTTTAGTTATGTCAATCCCGACATGAGTATGAACAGGGACGAAGTACAAGGATTAATTCAAAAGTAATGTCACAACTCCAAAAAATTGCTTCTAATCTCCTTGAAACAACAATATTATAAATTATGGAAGCTATTTTTTTCAAATCAAATCTGAAAAAAATTTAAATCAACATAACAATATACATTTTAAAATTTTGAATTTGTTTGTTTATTGTGAAAATATCTCTCTCTGGAAATTTTCCCTCATATGGAAACACCGCCACTTAAAAACAATGAAGACAAGATGTGTTTGTTAAACAATGATGCCCATGTATGGCAGCTTATGGCGAAGGTTGAAGTTTCTCAAATGTATGGCAAACTCAGAGGTCAAGGTCAAAGGGTTAAAATTGTTGGTTTCAAAGTCTTGTCACAAGGAATACACATGTGAAATAAGAAATCCCTAGTACATCCTGTTCAAAAGTTAATTGCCAAGTTTTTTTTAAGTGTGTCAAACTCTAGGGTCAAGGTCAAACATATCTATACCTGTTAAAAGTTCACAATGAATACACATGTTAAGCATGAAAGCCCTAGCATCTACTGATCAAAATTTAAGCCAAATTACTGATCAAATTTCTTCAGACAAACAGACAGACATTATAAATTAATACAAGAAGCAAAATTTGTATATAGTCAAATGGGGGAAAAAAATCTATTTTGGTGTCACAGATCAATTGTAATTTCACGGACAGTTAGTAGCTAGGGAGAGTGGACCCCCGCCCCCTGGAATTTGCTTTGTTATTCAAATAAGACTATATACTGAAGCAAAAAAAAAAAAGACTTTGGACATTATCCCCCTTATAAAACATTGACCCTACGACACCACTATCATTGATTTTATTTTGTTTTCATTTTTTTTTCTTTGCTTGTGAAGAAATTCTGGGCTAGTATTTTTATGACTGAGGTGTGAACCCCCCTCCCCCTCCTGAAAAAAATATGGATCTGCACCAGTAACTGAATGTCACATGGACAACGGGAGATAACTTCACAATGTGAAATTTGACTACTGTGCCATGCAATGATCTTTGAACTTTACCCTAACCTTTCGGTTTATTTTACCCCAATCTATACTTAAACTTGTACTTACCTACTGTCACAAGTCTTGTCAAATTCATGAAATATAATCCAAAATGAATATTTTCCATACACATCTGCACCATGTGCATGCTATGTAAACCTTGGATGATTCCGTTCAGTACGAATCAGCCGAGGTGTGCCAAGTGAAGCTTAATCTAAAAATATGTTATGGGTGACGCAACCCAATGTGATGTAGAAAGTTTACATGTAAACATATCTGAAAGTTTAAGAACAAATTTTAATAAATTAATTCATAACAAACTTTGCAAAGATAGACATTTTCTATGTATTGAAAATTGGGGTTTACGTTTTTTTTTTGTTGGTTTAGCCCCCCCCCCTTTCAATTTCCTTCCGATGCCTATGAAGTATATAAAATACTGAGTCATAAGTCACAGGGTCTGAGAATGTTATACTCTATGTGACAAATACATGTACTGTGTAAATTATAGAATTATTTTGACTTTTCCTTGGAAAGCCCAATATGTACGGATGTGTATTTAGAGGCAAACACATTAGTGCGGGTATTACTGTCTCATGACAACATTTAGTTATAATTGCAGAAAATGCATAGTCTCTAATATATATATCAATGCTGCAAAATCTTCAATTAACAATTATTATGTTATAATTGACTTAACAAAAATTCACGAAGATATGATCAAAAGTCAGCTGGTAAAATGTGTACATAATTATGGGAATCAAAATCACACTTTAGTTAAGGCATATTGGAAAATTCTCTTTATTTACCTTCCAACTCTGAATAAAATAATCAAATAGGACTAAGAAAGAGCGTGATAAATGTTAAAGTAGTCGCGCTTTGAGTATGCGATAAGGATGACAATATGGAGCCATATGGAATACATGCATTTGTTTTATATCCACCGTGTCAGTGGATAAAATTATATTATAAATATTATATAATTATCAATTTCATTCATATTATTGTAATTTTCTGTTTCAATAGCTGGAATCAATTATTTCAATTTTTTTTAAATTAAAAATTTATAAATACAATGTATATATGTTCATATAGAGAGTTGGATATATAACAAAAAAAGACAGCATCTTTACACGGCCTATAGACGGAACCCATTTGTTTTTTGTTCGAATCGCACAATCTTCAAACCTTCCCTAGCAAAAAAAAAATATATATATATATTTAACTATAGTGTATAACTTTGACACGTTGAAAACACTGATTTACTATAGTAGTAACTTTGACACTTTGAAAAACTTTATCGAAAACTTTGACACTTTGAAAAACTTTGGCGAAATTAAACTTTGGCACTTTGAAAAACTTTGGCGAAAACTTTGACACCTTGAAAAAATGGCGAAAACTATGACACTTTGAAAAACTTTATCGAAAACTTGGACACTTTGAAAAAGTTTATCGAAAATTTTGATACTTTGAAAAACTTTGACTCTTTGAAAAAGTTTATCGAAAACGTTGATACTTTGATAGAATTTGGTGACTACTTTGCCACTCTAAAAAACTTTATCGATAACTTTGATACTTTGAAAAACTTTTTCAAAATCTTTGACACCTTAAAAACTCTTTAACACTTTGAAAAACTATATCAAAAACTTTGACACTTTTGAAACTGGCGAAAACTTGGACACTTTGAAAAATTTTTGGTGAAAACTTGGACACTTTGATTTACTATAGTTAACTATAGAAAAATGGAGTTAACTATTGAAGACTATAGTTAACTTTAGGGTTAGTGTAAGATTGCATTCTTTTAAATGGTGTTGAAGAGGCTTAACATCTGGTATATGGAAGAAGTAGCAACCCTTTTAGAGTTTCGACAAACACTTTAGCATTTAGCATTGCAACTGAACCATAGCGATAGAGTATGGTAAAAATCAATACAGGAGGGAGTATGTGGCACACATAGGGGCGACCAAACATTTACAGGATATAAAGTTTAATCTCTGAATTGCAGAATAAAAAAATCTTTGATATGAAGTGTCATTTATCATGATTTTATTATACATTTCACACTGTGAGGTCTTCCGATTTGTCAGTTAAATCATTTTAAAGGTAGGTGTTTTGTGATTCTGAAATAGGTCGGTGACCTCAATTCTTATCTCTTCTGACAATGTACACGATTTTTTTTATGCCTCAATATGGGAAGAGAACAAAAATTTGTTTTGAATGTAACAAACATTGTGCCTTGTAGAAGTTTTCAATTGGGGATCTGTTTCTACTGCCACTGCTTCTGCCTACATTTTGATCAAAGCTGGATGCTGATTTATCCTTACATGTACATAATCAAACGAATAAGGAACGCAAGTTTAATAAATGTATTCGGAAGAAAAAGTAATGGCAGATCTGAAATATATACAAATACAAATAAATAATACAATATACGAGTGTTGTCCCGAAAAGTCGTAG